GGGCCACCTGGGTACCCCTTGTATCCCCACTGGGGTGGGCTGCTGGCTAGGTACCCTTGTGGGATAGGGAGGGGCTGTCTGCAGAGTCAGAGGTTTCCCAGGGAAGGCTAACCCCAGGGCCTTCCAGGAAGTGCTGCCTTCCCTGGCCCCTCTCCTGGGACTTGCTGGGCCCGGCCTCTGGACAAGCCCCTCCCTTAGGCCTGGGAGGAGGTCTGTCTCTGGCTAATCCAGGCTTTCAGTACTCAGGCTCTGGAAGGTGGCTAGGGCCTGCTGTGGTCACTCCACAGGACAGCAGAGGCCCAAGGCTTTCTTGAGGGGTAAAGATCAACCAGTAGCTTTGGCAAAGCCAAGATTCTCCCAGGTTAGGTTCTCCCCCCAACTGTCTGTGGGTATAGAGCCGAGAGCCAGTCCTGCTTTGAGCACCTTACAGCTCTAGACTGCCAAAGGCTGGGTACTCAGCAGTGGTGACAATTTATATGACAAGTTTTACTAAGTACCTACTATGTGATTGGCCCTGTTCTAGGTGCTGAATGTGTCATACTGATGGGAAGCACCAAGTCAGGATTGGATATGTAGCATTGCCTTGCTTTCTCCCCAAACCTCAGGTGGGATCCTGTTACTTTTATCATCATTCCACTTTATTCATGAGGATGGAGAGGCTCAGGTGACATGGGAAGGAAGTAGCAAGGCCAGGTTGGGGCCCCAGGTGGTCTGCTCCATATTTGGAGCCATGGCCTTCTGCCTGTCAGAAAGGGAGGCCCTGCCCCTGCCTTCCAGCCCAGGTGGCTGGGCGGCCTTCTAGGGTGGAGCTCTTGGCTAGAGCAGGGAGCCACAGCCAGTTCCCAGGAATGTGGGGCTGTGGGGCCGTTTGCTTTGGCAGCATCTCTGCCTCCAGTGGGCCTCCCCACCCAGGTCTGCTCCCCCTGGTGCCCACCCACTGCCTTCTCTGCCGCCCCTTCTCCCAGGCTCTGCACTGAGACCCCACAAACCCCTTGACAGGGAGGGGGTGCCTGGCCTAAGCTCTTGGTCTACTTCTTCCACATCCATGAGCACAGGAGAAAGTTTTGTCACTGACAAGCCACGTGACCCTGGACAGGCCACTTAAGTTTCTCTGAGCCTCAGTTTTTGCATCCAAGAACTGGGGATGAAACAGCACCTGCTGTAACAGGTGCCTCCCCTCTGGCCTTCCATTTCAACATCTGTTAAGAACAGGGTGCCCAAGCTGGACTTGCCACAGCTGACCAAAGGGGCAGTATCAGGACTATCCCAGGAATAAGGGGTACCCCTCAAGTTGCTCTTGGCAACACTGATACACTGGTGGTCACTCACCTGACCTACGCTGCTGTAGGGTGAGTAGGGAGGTTTCCCTAGTTTAACAGAGGGCTCTGTCCTCTCTGCTTCTGCCAAGGAAACTGGTCAAGTTAAGCTGTTTGTCAGTTCGTAGTTCCTCATCTGTCACGCCCCACTCTGTCCTGTACAAATAACCCCCAACCCACCCTGCACTTCTGCCCCTCCAGGCTCAGGGCAGGAGGGACTTTATCCAGAGCCAGTTCTAGCAGTCTTCTGTTAGCCTGGTGACCTTGAGCCTCAGTTTCCCCACCGGGGTCGGGGCCTGCGGTTGGGAGGGTGGGGATGGAAGCACCCAGACCCGCCCTCTGGGGGTGGCAGTAGGGTTTACCGGGCCAAGCGCTGCAGCTGGGGGCCGCTGCAGCTGGGGGCCGTCTGCTCAGGACTGCCGCGGGCGCACAATAGCAGCCATTGTCTCGGCCCGGCCGGCGGGGGGCCCGCCCAGCCCACCCTCCGGGTGACCCCCGCCCCAGGGTGGGGGAGGGCCGTCCACAGCCCCCGCCGCCCCGGTGGTCCCTGCGCCGCCCCCGCGCGCTTCCTCCTTCGCCGCCGCCGCTTCCTCCCGCTCCCTCCGCTTTAATTAGTTCCTTTTGCAGCTGGAGAAGCCGCGCAAGGCCGGGCCGCGCGGCCTACCCCGCGGGACGTCGGCGTGGGAGCGCCGCGCGCGTCCCCGGCCGCCCTGTGCTAGCGCTGCAAGCCGCGGCTGCGGGTCGCTGATCGCAGCTCCACGCCGCGGGAGCAGGGCGCTAGGCGCACGCCTTCCAACGCGCCGGGAGGTTCCGCGGGAGGGAGGTGACCCGCGGGTCGGCACGCTCCACCCCGCCACATCGGGCCCTGCACCTCGCCACCTGTCCGAGAGGGATGGGCTCCTGCCTCGGGACCGCCCCGCCGCGAGGGAGAGACCTCGCGGACAAAGCGGCCCCGGGTCCACCGCTGGCTAGGCACGTCTTCTCTGAGCAAGGCAGGCGGCGCTCCGCCCTTCCGAGGGTCATCGCGCCCCGCCCCCCCATGCCTTAAATCAGGTGATGGTGTGGCCAGTGCAGGAGGTGACGGAACTCGAGGCATTAAAGAGAGCAAGAACCAGGCTCTCCTTCCTGCGCTTTTCACCCATCCCTGGAACAAAGAGCAGAGCCAAGCCGGTGCCTGTGGATGGGGGTGGGGGAACACTTTGAGGTTGGCCAAGATCAGAGCAGGAGTGGGGTTACAGGCCATCTCCCTAGGGGGTAGGTCCCTGCGGAGGGAAAATTCTAGGCAGGCTCCTCTTGGATGGGATTGCTAGGAGGTGAGGGCTTTGGGATGGCTTCTTCCTTTCCCAGGAGCAGGAGGTGCCTGGGCTGAGTTCTGTCTTCCATAGGAATGAGCCCTTGCCTCCCTGGGTAGAACTCAGCACCAGGATGGGGGGGGGGGGGGGGGGGGGCCGGGGGGGGGGGGGGGGCCCCCCCCCCCATAAAGATGGCTTTTCTTGGGACCTCCCCAATTTTGAGACAGGGAACCAGTTTTAAGGCAGGTTCAAAGAACAAGGTGACCCAGGGCCATGGCTCCTCCCACAGCTCCCTGGGAGGGATGGAGGGGACAGTGGGGCAGGTGCCAAAAGATGTTGCTTGGGCACCATTGCCAGCGAGAGTCAGCATCCACTTGGATTCCCAGCTCCCCAAACATTATGCCTGTGGTTCCCTTCTTTGGAAGGGTTGGGGTGGAGGTGAGGGACAGGGGCTATGGGGAGGCCTGTGGCCCTGGGCCAGCAGAGGGACCAGGCCACCAGCCCTTCCTGGCTCCTGAATTCTTAATCAGCATAAATATTTACTTCCTTCCTCTCCTTCCAGGCTCTCAGCACAGAGGAGCTTTGGGGAGGTTGGACTGGGCCTGTGTCTAAAAATAAACAGGTGGAAGGACAGGCAGACACAGACAGAGAGACATAACTAGGGAGGTGGGGGTCAGGCAGAGGACAGCTCCCTGCTCAGGGAAATGGAGGAGGGGACCCAAGGTCATCCATCACTGCCACCTACCCACCTGCAAGCTGGGATCTAGACCTCCTGAGGAGAAGGGTGGTGCTCTGGTCCCACCTCCTTTATATTGTTGGGAATGCTTGATCTGTGTATGGTAGGGGATATGTGGCACACATAGATCTGACAGCTCCAACAGGGACAAGTCACAGACCTGGGTCTTGAAGCCAAGAGTGGCCCACCCATGCTCTAATGATGCAGGCCTGGGAGGGGTGGACAACTTCTCTAGCTCAGAGACTCCATGTTAGCCATGCATATATTGTAGGATCTGGGGATTTGTCCCAGCAAGCAGGGGGTCTCAAGTGAAGGAAGGGACTCTTTCCTGTGTGCTTGGGGAGTCTCTGAATAAGCTTTGAATTTGTAGGAGGTAGAGGGAAAGGATGAACTGCATCGAGTGGGTGAAGTTGCCAAGGGGTCTTGGTCTAGAGAAGGGATGAGAGGGGACGTGGGGGTTGTCATCCCTGTCCTATTCCTGAGGATGTTCCAGCAGCTCTGAATCCCTATGTGCACTAGCCTCACCACCATCCTGCCTCCCCAGGACACAAATTTGGGTGCAATTTTCCAGGCCCACCCACCATGTCCACCCTTTTGTATTAAATACAGCGAGTGACAGGATCTCATGTTAGTAGAGATTTACAGGGTGCACCAGTCTTCATGAACAAAGGCCAGGAAACAGTGGGAGTGTTTTCTCTGTGTGTAAAGACTGCTGCTGGGAGAATGAAGTGTTGAACTTGGAGGGATGAGCTGACAGCTTGGTCAGAGGATCCTGAGTCCATTTATGTGAAAATTACACCAATGAGAAATTATATGAAAATTATAGCATGAGACATATAATAGAAGAGCGTTATCACCTTTACTGTATGTGGTTTTTATGTACTGAGCTGGTCTGCTCCACCAGCCCAGCTCTGGCCAGCCTGACCACAGTCCCCATCTGCCCCCTGGTGGCAGCCCAGAGCCCTGTGGCTCCCATTGGCTTGTGGATGCCTCTCCTGGCCCCACCTGGGAAGTGTCCCCAGTCCCTTGAGGCCAAACTCTGCATTACTTGCCTGAGACTTCCCTATCAGCAGGGCTGGGCTCCCTTGGAGGTGACAGAGCTACTTGCTGAGAATAGACAAGGGTGGGCACAGAGGGGGCACTAGCATTTGATTGCTGAGGAATATCAACTGGCACCTTGAGGACACTCCTTGCCCACAGCCTGCTTCTAGGTCTTCAGACCCAGACCAGGCAAGCTCCCCCTCTCAAAGAAATGACTGCGGGGGGGTGGGGGGCTGGGAATATAGCTCAGATGGTAGAGTGCTTGCCTCGCATGTATAAGGTCCTGGGTTCAATTCCCAGCATCACCAGAAGAAAAAAAAAAAAAAAAGAAAGAAATGACTGGTCAGAGGTCTGGCCTTGAGTCTCATAGTTCTGCCACTTCTCTTTGACCTGAGGCAGTACCTCTAAAATTCAGCATTCATGGCAGAATGGAGGCCTTGAGCCTCCCCCAAAACTTGGAGGAAGTAGGCGTGGAACCTCTGAATAGGTGGTTGGTTCTTTCTCTAAGAACCTAGGGTCCAGATTGCTCCCTCTCTGCTCATTTGGGCTTTTATGGGTACAGCTTGAGGAGGAGCCTGGGGTCAGAGTCACAGTACAGCTTCTGTCCTTCCCCAGGTTCCTGCCTAAAGATCAGCTGGGTGCCCCCTTCTGCCTGCTATCCCCTCCAACGCCAGCACCCCATCACCATGCACTCCTTGGACGAGCCGCTTGACCTGAAGCTGAGCATCACCAAGCTCCGAGCGGCGAGAGAGAAGCGGGAGAGGGTGCTGGGTGTGGTCCGGCACCGCACTCTGCAAAGGGAGCTGGGCCTGGTGGATGATAGCCCCACACCTGGCTCCCCAGGCTCCCCACCCTCAGGTACTGCACCAGGCAGGGTGGGGGACTTGCACTTGACCGAGCATTGACAACAGTAAGAAGAGCGGAGGTGTGTCCACCAGAGCACAGCCCCAGCCCCTGGCTTCTTCCAGTTTAGAGTGCTACCCACAAGTTTGTCCATTCATCCTCCCAACAGTTCAGTTTTGAAGGGAGCAGAGAGCTGAGACATAGAGCCAGGGTTCAAACTGAGGGCCCTGGGAGAATTTGGTAAGGGGTTTCAGAGGTCTAAAAGTAGTAGCATAGGTCCCAAGATCTCACCTGGGCTTTGAGGTGTTGAGGTTGGTCAACCAGGGAGCCAGGTGAGTTCAAGTTCTTTTCTATTATTCATCCTGTGTGCCAGACCAGTCTCCTCTATAAAATGGGTACTTCCTCTTTCATCCCACTTTGTCTTACACAGTTGGCTGAGCGCTCAGGGTGATGAAAGTTCAACAGCCGACAGTATCATTACGTCTGTCAGATGTGCGGGCTGCTCCCACAGTCCTCTGGGGGGCCTAGCTGACATCTGCTCCGCGCATCACAGTGGGGATCCTGAGGTGGTAGGACCTGGCCCACCAGGACTCTTGACTCCAGCATCTTGAATCATGCCTTTCCCTTAGGCTTCCTGCTGAACCCCAAGTTTCCTGAGAAGGTGGATGGACGCTTTTCTGCAGCCCCTCTGGTGGACCTCAGCTTGTCACCACCGTCTGGACTGGACTCCCCCAATGGCAGCAGCTCACTCTCCCCCGAGCGCCAGGGCAATGGGGACCTGCCTCCAGTGCCCACTGCCCCGGTAAGAAGGGTGAGGATTTTGGAGAGGTGTATTGGTTTCCTGGGGCTCTGTAACATTATTCTCCCACAGTTCTGGAAGCTCAAGTCTACAAAGTATTGGCAGAGCCATGTTCCCTTGAAAGCTCCAGGGAACAATCCTTTCTTGCCTCCTTGGCAGCCCTAGTCTGGTACCCTTATCACCTCAGTCTGCCCCATCTTCACATGGCCTTCTTCCCTCTGAGTTTCTGTGTCCTTATCTTCCTCTCTTTTCTTTTATAAAAACACCAGGTACTGAATTTAGGCTACCCTAATCCAGCAGGACCTCATTTTAACTTGATTACATTTGTGAAGATCCCATTTCCAAATAAGGTCACAAGCACAGGTACCAGGGATTAGGACTTAAATCTATCTTTTTGGGGGACAACATTCAGCCCATTCCAGAAGGGGACAGAAGGGGTCTGGGTCTGCAAGGGGGTCTCAGGAGGGCACTGACCAGCTCTCCCCCTTGCCCTTACTCCCAAGGACTTCCAGCCACTGCGATATCTGGACAGTGTCCCCAGCTCCTTCCAGTTCTTCCTACCCCTGGGCTCTGGGGGGGCCCTGCATCTGCCTGCTTCCTCCTTCCTCACACCCTCCAAGGACAAGTGCCTCTCGCCAGAGCTGCCCCTGCCCAAGCAGCTGGTGTGTCGCTGGGCCAAGGTGAGTGGGGGCCATGAAGAGTGGTATGGGGCCCAGGGCAGGGGCCCCACACAGGCTCAGAACCCTGCCTGGCTCCACAGTGTAACCAGCTCTTCGAGCTCCTGCAAGACCTGGTGGACCATGTCAATGACTATCACGTCAAGCCTGAGAAGGACGCAGGGTACTGCTGCCACTGGGAGGGCTGTGCCCGCCATGGCCGTGGCTTCAACGCCAGGTGAGGGAGCAGGGGCAAGGGCGGGAGGAAGGGGCTAGGTCTTCAGCAAGCTGAGCGTGCCCCTGTGCCCTCCCTGGAGCAGGTACAAGATGCTCATCCACATCCGCACGCACACCAACGAGAAGCCGCACCGCTGCCCCACCTGCAATAAAAGCTTTTCTCGCCTGGAGAATCTGAAGATCCACAACCGGTCCCACACAGGTGAGAGGCCTGGTTGGGGGTCTTTCCTACATAGGAGAGCTGGGCAGGCTAGGGACAGAAAGGGCAGGCACCCAGCAGGCAGGAAGGAAGGACTGGGCCTTAGCAATGAGGAACAAATCTTATTGATCATGACCCTTTCAGAAGGCCACTTGCTGGGGGAGCCCTTCCTAAGGGTCAGACCCCAACATACACTGAGCATGGACACAACTTCCTGTGTCCTATCTGTATGATCTGACTAATAGCTAGCTACCTCAGGACAGCAGAGACTGGGTCTGCATTGCTCCCTAGTCCCTGAGCCACAGAGCCACAGCCAACTCTTATTCACAGAACCATAGAACTAGTTTTACATTGTCTAATCACCATTAAAAAGAAAAGAAATAGATGACATTAATTTTTAAGTTTTTATTTTTTAGTTGTACTTGGACACAATATTTTTATTTTTATTGGTGCTGAGGATTGAACCCAGGGCCTTGCATATGCCAGGTGAGCGCTCTACCGCTGAGCCACTACCCCAGCCCCAATTATATATTTAATTGAATCCAATATATATATTTATTTTTTTATTTTTTTTTTAGAGAGAGAGAGAGAAATTTATTTACTTTTTAGTTTTTGGTGGACACATCATCTTTATTTTATCTTTATGTGGAGCTGAGGATCGAACCCAGCGCCCCACGCATGCCAGACGACCGCGTTACCGCTTGAGCCACATCCCCAGCCCCAATATATATATTTAAACTGTTACCATTTAAATCATTTCAATTTAAAAAAAAAAAATCAGTAAGACACTGAAAATCCTTACTTCAGACAGTCTTTGAAACCTAGTGTGGTGTTTCTTTTTCTGGTCTATAAGTCACTCTCACAGCACATCTCTACTTGGACCAGCTGCATTTCAAAGGCATAGCAGTCAGCTGGTTGCTGTCCTAGCCAGTGCAGTGGTAAAGGCTTAGTAAATATGGAGCCATTTTGAACAAGGCCAAATGAAAGGGCACATTAGTGAGCCCACCTAGAGCTACATAACCTCCAAGGTGGAGTTCTGCCTGCTTAAGTTTACCAGCTGCATGGGGCAACCTGATGGTATACAGCAAGGCCATCGCAGAGCTGGGGCTTAACCAGGTTGGGTTCTGCCTGCAGCAGCCAACTGAGTCAGCTCTTGTGTTACATTGCTGGGGATGCCTCCCAAATCACAATCCTTGATCTGAGCGATCTGGGCCTGGGGAATGCTGAGGATGTGGGTGGGAATATCTGAGAGTAGGGCAAGATCCCCTTATGTGGCCTACCCCTGCAGGTGAGAAGCCCTATGTCTGTCCCTATGAGGGCTGCAACAAGCGCTACTCCAACTCGAGTGACCGCTTCAAGCACACTCGCACCCACTACGTCGACAAACCCTACTACTGCAAGATGCCTGGCTGCCACAAGCGCTACACAGACCCCAGCTCTCTGCGCAAGCACATCAAAGCCCATGGCCACTTCGTGTCTCACGAGCAGCAGGAGCTCCTGCAGCTACGCCCACCCCCTAAACCACCACTGCCCACCCCTGACAGCAGCCCCTATGTTAGTGGGGCTCAGATCATCATTCCCAACCCTGCTGCCCTCTTTGGAGGCCCCAGCCTGCCTGGCCTGCCCCTGCCCCTGGCCCCTGGCCCCCTTGACCTCAGTGCCCTGGCCTGTGGCAATGGCGGGGGTGGTGGGGGTGGTGGGGGTATTGGCCCTGGGCTGCCAGGCCCTGTTCTGCCCCTCAATCTGGCCAAGAACCCACTGCTGCCCTCTCCCTTTGGGGCTGGTGGACTGGGCCTGCCTGTGGTCTCCCTCCTCACTGGCTCCGCTGGCGGCAAGGCAGAGGGGGAGAAAGGGCGTGGGTCAGTGCCCAGTAGGGCCCTGGGCACAGAGGGCTGCAAGACTCCCCTCGAAAGGACGGAGAGCAGCCGCTCCCGGCCAAGCCCCGATGGACTCCCCCTGCTTCCAGGCACTGTGCTGGACCTGTCCACAGGCGTCAACTCAGCAGCCAGCAGCCCAGAGGCACTAACTCCTGGCTGGGTGGTCATCCCACCAGGCTCTGTGCTACTCAAACCAGCTGTAGTGAACTGAGCCTGCTTACCTACCTACCAGCTATGACAGCTCAGCCAGCAGCTCTGGGCCCCACCCTGACGAACAGAAACTCTTCTGCGAAATAGCAATAATGTCCTACTGCCCTGGGGCCTGGTGGTCTGTGCTCCCTGGGAAGCTGCAGGCCCAGATGAGTTGGGCAGCAAGGATGGTGCTAGAAGGTCATTGTTGCCTTCCCAGGTCCCAAGTGAGGACTTGGCCCTGACCATGCTCTTGGGTGCTGAGGCCTTGCTCACCCTTAGGCCCCTGCCCCACAGCTTCTGAGGCCCTCTGCCCATCCTCCACCAGACTCTTAGTCCTTGGTTTCCCACCCTGGTGCCTCCTTCATCCCAGGGCCAACTTGAGCAGGTTGTCTTTCCTCACTTGCCCACTTATCAGCCACAGAGGCCAGCAGCGACTGCTTCCCAACACTGGGAGCAAAGTAGCATCTGCCCTCCTGCTGGTCCGGACCACCCCCAACTTCATGTGATGAGCTGTGAGGAGCCCCCACAGGGCCACAGCACCCCTGCAGTCTCACCCTAGACCCCTTTCCCTCTGGCCTACCCCCTGGAGGGAGAGAAGATAAGATGCAGACCCTGGCTAAGCCACAGGAAGAAGCCATGCTGTTCCCCACCCACCCCTATGACAAGGTGCCTTCCTGCTCGCTAGAGAAGGGAGGCCTGCTTGGTCAGCTGCCGTCATCCCTCATTCAGCCTGAATCAGACTGCACTGCCAGAGGGCCAGCAACATTCCCAGGTGAAGGGCCAGCTGACCACTCACTTGCCCCTATACCCTGGAATGATCTGACTCAGGCATCCTGAGCGTATGGGAAACATGGAGCCAGGGAAGGAAGGTGTCAGATGGACAGTCCTGGTGCTAGGACTTAATCCAAGCCCAACAGGCAGGGCCAGACCAGGCTCCATCTTGGTCATCCCAGCTGGGACTGGCCTCATGGAGAGGCCTACAGGGCACTGGTACTGAGGCAAGAGGCAGCTTCTGGTCTTAAGGCACCAAGACAGCATGCAGGGGAGGAAGTGGAGGGAGCTTTCTGGCCATTGACTGAGGCCTGGGTCTGTGGGAGACTGGGCAGCCAAGCATGGCTACGGGAAGGCCCAGCCCCTCTGCCTGGGAAGAGCTGGCTGGAGGAAGGAGCTGGACTTGGGATGTTGTTGCCTCTGGCTTTTTCTCAGTTGAGCCTGATCCTAAGAGACTCCCACTCAGCCAGCTCCCCTAGGGTCTAGCTACTATGCAGGGGCAGAGTGCCAAGGATATAGGATATTGATCCCACTGCCCAATCTCCAGAAGCTAGGCTATCCCAGCATGTCCCACTCAACCAACCCTGGGCCTTTTGTTCCCTTCCTGCCAGCAGCTGGGAGCTCTGGCTTCTAGAGCACCTTTGTCACTAGTCTGCAAAATGGCCAATCCTCTCCAATTCCCCACCCATAGAACAAAAGAGCCACCAGATGGCAGTGGGGTCCTCCATAGCCCTGTGGTTCCTCTGAGCAGTTCTGATCCCACTCTTTCCTGGACTGCCCTTCTGTCCCAGAAGGGTCACCCTGACCTGGCAGTCCCTGCTGCTGGTCTTAGAACCCCAGTCCTGACAGGGCCTGGCCATGCTGGCTCTGCCCCTTGATGGGGCTGTGAGCAAGGTAGAAAGGAGCAGGTCTCCTTTCTTTGGGTCCACCCTGGACCCAAGCACTCCCCCTCATCCCTGTTAGGGCCCTAGGCCTTCAGTCCCTAGCTTGGGGGATGTATGGTTTGACTCAAGCCCAGGAGCAGAGGAATAGGGCACTGGAAGGTGACATTAGCTCAGCATGTGATTTGGTGATAGACCAGGCTTGGAAGGGCCAGTATACTTTTCGTTGTTGTTGGTTTATTGTTGCACATTCCAGGATATCAGTATTTTAACAGGTTCTAAGTGCCTTTCTATTGTAGCTTATGTTTTTCCTCCTCTTGGCTCCATTGCTGTTAGCATAGAGTTTAAAAAAGAGATAAGCTAATGACTATAACAATATATTCCTCCATGTGAGAGGAAGTTTATAAAGAAACAATAAAAGTGAGTTGCAAAGATGGTTTCTGTGTCATGAACATGCTAGGAACGGGGCTGACCTTAGACTGTCTGGCTCTGTGCTCAGCTTTGGGGGTCTCCCAACTATATTACCTAAAGCCCCTGATCTGGGGTTTCTCTTCAGCCTTTAGGTGCCAGCCTCAATGTGAGGCTGAAAGCAGGTCAGCCCAGCCGGGAACTGGAAGGAAAGAAGCGTGAGGGTTGGGTTCTGAGGAGCAGAGATGGAAGATTCTGGACTAAGCATTACAAGGTTCAGGTCCCTAACCTGCTATGACTGGTGAGCCATGCCTTGGTCCAGGGATAGGCTGGCCAAGGTTCTCCCTCAGTCATGTACGGGAGCATTCTGCCCAGCTCACCAAAAACATCATATCCAAGCCTGGGCCAGGGGCTTTCACCCTGAGGGTGGGGCAGGAAAAGACCTGTGGGATGGTAATGGGTTTCCATCTGGCAGGATGCAAGGGAGGGAGGGGAACTAGGTGCCATGGGAGCAGGAGCAGCTGTGTGACCCCTCAGGCAGGCTCTTACATGGTGGGACTGCTCAACAATCTCACCACCTGAACCCAGCTCCTGAGGCTGTTAGCTGTTGCCCCCCCACCCCCGGGTTCCCAGCAGAGCCCTACAATAGGCAGGAAGAGCAACTGGCCTCCTGGAAATGGGATACATGCACAGGAGAAACACAGAAGAGATTTATTACCAAGCTATAAGTTAAGAGGTGGCAGGGAGAGGAGAGCTGCATAGTCACGTTCTGGGCACCTGCTCTTTCTCTTTCTCCTCTTGGGCCTGGATTCTGAGTTCCTCATCCAGGCGCTCCTTTGCCCGGACAACCTGGAAGGAGGTGAAAGATCAGGGCTCGGCAGAGCCTCTACCTTTTGCCCCTCACCTACAGACAGGATTCTTCATTTCCTGGCTCAGGCTACCTTTCTGGAGGGCAGCCCTCCTCCACAGGAGCCCTAAAGGCTGGGTTTCTGCACCAGTAGACCAGTGTTGGTCTGGTACATACCACCAGTGGCTGCTCCTGCTCCTTCAAGGTCTGAATGCTGGGAGGGCCACTGTCCCTTCAGCTGAGCCCTACAGAACTGAGGCAGCCAGAGGAGTGGCAATTTGAGGGGGTGGGTGTCCTCTCTGAGGCTAGAGCACCAGGGAAAGGCCTGGCATACCTCACTACCTGCCAACTCCCTAACTGCCAGCTGCCCTGCCAGGGGTCCCAACTGAGGAGAGGAGGTATGTGGCTTATCCATCTTGAAGAATCAAAGAGCACTTACCTTGGATTGTAGGTAGAAGGAGCCGCCCACGGATTTATCATTCACCTTAAATAGATGTTCATAGTTCTGCAGGGGAGAGGAGACGGAGAGCAGACTGCAAACTCTGAATGAAACACCAGGAGAAGCTGACGATAAGGGAAGTTAAAGGGCCTGACCTCTACACCCCATATGCCACACTGTGCAACCCAGGAGGCTGCCATGACCTAAAGGGGCAGAGACAGGACAGATGCCCATAGAGGGACAGCTTGGCTGCTACTACCAACAGCTCTGCCTCTGCAACTGCCCTGCCTGGGGCCTAAAACTTAACAAGCAACAGTGGCTTCCTCAGTGGGAGTCCCAGCTGGCTTTAGTCAGACCCACTGCACTTACCCACTTCTGCCAAGCCTCCCCTACCCCAGTCTTACACCCTTACCTTCTGGACCTCCTCGGGACTCAGTTTGGAGACGTTGAGAATCTGCTGGGCCTCCTGAAGACTGAGGCCAGAGAGGTTGGATGCAGCTGCAGACTGGTGCCCAGCTCGTCCCCGGGCATCAGCTGCGGCTCGGCTGGCTGTGTGGACACATGGGTGATCGCTCAGCCCTCCATGGCCCAAAGCTCCCCCTGAGCCTTCCGGATGGGTGGCTCACCCCTGCCAGGTGGCACAGAGGAGACATACAGGAACAGAATTGGCCAGAAGTAGCTCTTCTCCAGGACTGGTTTCTTTTGGGGGAGGGGGCAGGAAAGTAAGGACAGACAAGCCTTACTGGAGGACAAGGTCTGACCATCGAGCCTGGGTTATGGTCCCCTACTAGATCATAAGCTGACCTAGTCCTCTTCTCCCCCTACCTCTGGTCCCAGGGGCAGAGCAAATTGGGGCACTTTAGGATATGGGGACCAGGCGGAGTGAAGCTGTGGCCAAGGGAGGAGCAATAGTTCTGCTGGGACCTGGCTGCCCAGCCAGCACCCAGACCACCAAAGCAAGCTTGCCTCTAGTGACACTAAAATCAGAAGCCAGTAAACATTTCCTTACAGGGTCAGATAGAAAATATTTTAAATTTGGTCAATTTCACCTGCATTGGAATTACTCAGCTCTCCCTGATAGCAGCCAGAGGATGTGGCTATGTTCCAGGAAAACTTAATTTACAAAAACAGATGGACAAGTGGGCCAATTTGCCAGCTCCTGACCAGGATATTCATGTTAACCAAGTCTCACTGGACATAAACCTCTCTCTCACATGGGAAGGTCCCAAAGTCTGGCATTACCCCCTACCACAAAAGAGTGCCCCAAGCCACCCAAGCCACAGAATGCTTTCTCGTGGAGGGAATCACTGCATTCATGACCAGGCTGAGCTACCAAGGAAGATCTGACCTGGGCAGAAGCTCTCAACTCAGGAGAGAGGGGCCCATGCTTACCTGCAAACTCCTGCCGCAGGGCCCGAGCAAAGGCTCTGCCTACCACCTGTACGCCCATCACAATGATTTGGGCCAGGTACTTGGCCTGTGGGCAGAGTAGGCATCTGGTTAGAAGGCTGCATTCTCAGGGTCTGCAAAGTGGGGAGTCTGGAGATGGCTGCTGAGGAACTGAGAGTATGGTGTATAGCACTGCAGCCACAGGCCACCTTCTCCAAAGTGCCCTGATAAAAAGCTTCTGCTTGGGGTGGCTTCAGATACTTACTGGAGTCTCCAGAGGCAGACTGGTCCCCCTTGACCTTCAGGAAAGTCAGAGAAAAACCAAAGCAATGTGGCTACAGGGGATGGAGGGCACTGACGTTAGTAAGAAACACTGTGGCCTGGGATCCAGAACACAGGGACAGTCCCAGACCTGTTACCAATTCACCCTCTATCCCAGAACTGACAATGACTCTTCCTGTGCTTCTCAGATTATCTGGTCCAACCTTCTTTTTTCCAGTGGGGAAATTCAGATCCATTCTAACCATAAAGTCCTATGACTTGGAGTTCATTCCATTCAATACAACAAAAAGTTACCACAGGTCTATTTAGAATATACAGTCTCCAGCTTCAGGAGCTAAAGGCCCATTAGGAGGGTAGTTAGACAATCACAGGAAGGACCTTTTGATTATCAAGAGTAGGGCTAGTTCATTTGTTCAGCCACTGGTTCGCCTACTCCTTCAAACACTAGCCAGAGTCTACACCACCCACTGCACAGCATACACGGAGCCTGGTCCCTGTCTTGAGCTGGCCACATACTTACATAGCCTGGCATGGAAATCAACTGCAGCACAGCAAGGTTATACAGACCCCAGACTATGATTCAGCATGCCACAGACATACCTCACTAAGACACAACCAGACGCTCAGTCAGTAGAGGGAACACTGAGGAATGAGAGAGGTTCTGGGAGAAGATGGTGCTTCTCCTGGGCTAGGTTCTGAAGAGCAGATAGAATCATGATGGGAATCTTAGGACTCTGAAGCAGAGGAACAGGGTAGGGGAATAAGATACATCCTGGGAGCAGCCAGAGATAAGAACAGAAAGGCATATGACATGGGAAAATTTATAGACTATATTGTGACATGCAGATAACATAGACAACATCTATAAAAAATGATCCTATGTCCATGAAATGGTACAAACAGGGTTGCACAGAGGACACAGGAGGCTGCTCAAAATGGGTTAACAGTGTTCATGTGGCAGAGTCAAGTAAGTTGCCCTTTCTTCTTTGTACTTTCCTGTGGTTAGAGTTCCCCTTGGTCAGCAAGTACTGATTGAGCTTGTGCCAGGCACTGTGCCAAACATGTTCTATTGTTTGTGCCATATAATCCCAATAACTCAAAGGGCTTAGTGACCAAGGACAGGCAGCTAGTACTTGAGTGAGGGAGAAGGAACCCAGAGCTGGTGCTATGTGACAAGGTAGCTGCGGGCTGCTGCCTCACAAAAATCCCAAGATAAGGCAGGGTGACTAAGCAAACTGATCCAGAAGCCAAAGAGGGGCAGGGGCTGTCAGATTCCAGTGGAATTCGGACTCCAGAAGTGACCTAGTTTGGCTTCCAAGGCCTTGTCCTTCCCTAACAGAAGGGATGTGATTATGGGCCATCAGGGGAATGAATAAACACAATTTGGTTTGCATTTCACAAGTAGGTGGAAATTTCATAAGTTCTGGATTTCATACAAGAAAGTAAAGCCTAAAGAAGACCCTCATGTAATCAAAGGCAAGATTGCAGCCAGCTATACTGGAGGTGTACGAGGAATAGCAGTGTGCTTGCTGACTGTGTAATCTCACCTGTCTTCTGTCCTCCTTGCCTAAAAGCTACAGGCTCTCAGGTGGAATACTGGCCTTGCATGACAGGGCAGTCACTACCTCCAGAGGTTCCCTGAGCCTGAAAAACCCCTTAGGTGATCTCACCTCCACCCAAAAGCCTCTGTCCTCTGCTGCCAGAGGCTTAGCATAGTCTTGTAATCACTGGTTACTTTTCTGCTGAGGCCAATGACCATTGCTAAATAATGCACATTAAGAGGAAAGACTGGGCTGGGATTGTAGCTCAGTGGTAGAGCGCTTGTCTTGCATACGTGAGGCACTGTGTTTGATCCTCAGCACCACATAAAAAATAATAAATAAAATAAAGATATTATGTCCATCTACAACTAAAAAAAAAAGGCTGACAGCTGGCTATACCTCAGTGATAGAGTCCTTGGTTAGTATGCACAAAGCCCTGGGTTCAAGCTCCAGTACCCCAAAACAGAAAACAAAAACACCAAGGCTGTAACTGGGAAACTTCCCTAACCATGTCCTCCATGTTTTAAATCAAAGTTGTGCTGGGTATGGTTGCACATGCCTGTAATACCAGAGACCCAGTGGACAGAGGGATTATAAATTCAAGGCCAGCCTCAGCAATTTAGCAAGGCCCTAAGCATGTTAGTGAGACCTGTCTCGAAATAAAAAATAAAAAGGGCTGGGGATGTAGCTCAGTGGTTTAGTATTCCTTGGTTAAATCCAAGTACCAAAAATGAAAAAAATAAATAAATCAAAGTGGCATGGTAGCCTGTGGTTCTACTGTCCAGAACTCTCTACAACTGCAGGGAAGGCAGGACTGGCCCACAAAGTTTCAGCAGCTACCCTGGCTGGTGGATGGAGCTGGATAGAGGGCAGATGGAGGCCACCAAAGTTCCTGCAGGGTCACCTCCTACAAACCACTGGGGAAGGAGTATGGTATAGTGGTAACAGAAGGCTCTGGGATCACCTGTGGCCAAATCCTGGCTGTGTGGCCCTGGAAAAGATCTCAATCCCTCTGAGCCTATTTCCTCACCTATAAAATGAGGACAATGATAGGGCTGTCACAGAGATTATATAATGCCTATAATGTGTCTGGCATGGACCTTAATAATACAGTAGGTGATCAGTAAGTGTTGCTTTTCATTAACTACTGCTGTTTCACAAAACTTGGCAATGGCTAGACAGTATGGAGTAACAAAGTTTATAATAAAGCAGTTCATTTGATTCCTCAGGGGTGAAGGCTGCAAAATGCTGTATTCCCCAGGGAGCCAGGAAGCAGTTAGGGAGATACTTAGACTGGAAACCTAACTTTGCTTCTCACTAGTTGGGTGTCCCTGGGCAAGTTACTCAACTTCTCTAAACCCTGTTTTCTTATCTGCAAAATGAAGAAAAGAATACATTCCTTATAGGAGAGTCATAAAGCCATAAAGGAATGCATGTAAAACCAACTGGACACACAGTGGCAGGCCGAAGCAAGAGTTCAACAGCTGGCTTTACTTCTGGACCAGACCCAGTTTGGTGTTAATGGTCTGGCAATCAGGTGGTGCTGCCAACTCTCATCCACCTATTCCAACCCAAACATTCCCTGAACACTGACTATGGGTCAGGCCATGCTCACAGCTGGGGATTCATGGTGGGCAAAGTTCTGGAAGCTGCAGCCACTGCAGGTGATCCAAAGTGCCACCAGATGAGGCCCCTCCTGGAAAGACCTAAAACAACCCATAATACACTGACTGATACTTGGGTCTGAAAGTCCCAGTGAAGACCAACCATTGGCAATCAACTTCGGGTCAAGCAGTAGGCAGACAGCAGAGGTCAGAGCCACAGGACTCCAACCTGGGACCCACAGCGGGCAGCACATAGGCTTTTTCTTCTGTAAAGCAACATGGCAAATACAAGACCACAGCCCTGAAGTTAGGGCAAAGTACCACAAGTAATATTAAGGAGACACTCAGAAATAAGGATTATCCCACTAAAAGTACATCAAGAAAGGAGCTCAGCTTTCTGACAAATGTGCTACATTCCTTCAAGGCACAGCTGCAGGCCCTCAGGTTGGTGAGCAGACTGCCACTAAGACTCACTTCCTTCTCAAGGACATGCTGAGCTAGCAAGGGGGCTCTGGTCACTCAGGGCCTCTACAAACAGCTGCTGGTATCACAGCTAGGCAGGAAAAAGGCCAGGACCACAGAGGCCCAGAGCCCAATCTGCATTTGAATGAATGTGGCTGCCCAGGAATGGACAGTTAACCACACCACCCTCAGCTGCGCTTCAGACAAGGCTGGAGTCTTATACTCTATGCTCCCAGACAAGGTTTCCAAATGCCTCCTAACCCCTCAGCTGGGGAAGGGCTCTGGCCATTGCCCAATACACACACCGTTCTCCACTTGGCATTCACATCTCTCCATCTGGCCTCAACTAACTTCTCCGCCTTATTCTCCCCTTCACCTCTCCCCATAATGCAAATGCACCCTCTACTCCTAGATCAGTTCTTACACTTTTCTTCTCCACGTGTGCTCCAAATTCCTCCACTTTGAATATCTTCCCTCCTGACACTGTCTAAACCCCAGCCCTGTGGGAGTCGCTGGACGTCTAACAGCCCACCTCCGGTGGGAAACTTTCCCAGCCTCCTCCTATCATACTTATCCACAGCATTTTCCTTTCCTACGGATAGAGTCCCTCAAGTCATCGACTGGCGGATACCAACTCCGCGACCTTCAGGGACGGTGCTCAGGTACCTGCCTTTTCAAAGTTCCCGGGAGGCCTCCGTGGAACAGGCGTGCGCATGCCCCCTCCGGTCGCCCGCGGCGGCTCGCTCTCACCCGGCTGAGCGGGCGGCGACGGCAAGGACCGGCGCGTGCGTCAGCCAGGTGTGCGCTGCCTTCCGCCGGCGGCGTTTCCCGGCCGCCCCCCCCCGCCCCGCTTCCCGCCGCACGCGCGCCCTCAGCACGGCCGGAGCCCCATCACCCTCCCCAGCCTCCCTGTTCCGGCGGCGCGTCCCGGGTCTCACCATTGCGACCGCTCTGCCTCGGGGTCGCGGACTCCCGCTTCCTGGCCCCGCCGCGCCGGCTCAAGGGCGGCCGGCGGGTCACAGGTTAAAGGAAACAGCAAGGCGCGTGCGCGAGGCCGCGCTGGGCATGCGCGTTACCTTGGCCCGGACGGAGCGCTGTCGTGACGAAAGAGGGGCGGGAGGGGCGGGACCTTCGGTGGGCGGAACCTTCCTTGGGCTCTGGGGATCACCAGGCGAGCGATGGATGGTCCCAGCCCCTCCAGGTGGCCCTCTAGCTGGGGCGCCAAGACTGTTTCTTCCCTTAGTTTTGCCAAAAATACTTAAAACGAAAACATCATGTGAAATAAACGAATATAATATGAGGTAGGATGCCAAATTTTCGGGAATATCTAAGAAAACTGGGAACTTCAAAATAGATTTCAGTCCAGATTCCTTCTGTTTGGTAATCTGAGAGGCTGATTTCCTCCCCCAAATCTGTGCTCAAATGCCACCTTCTCAATGAAGCCCACCCCGAGTCCCCCACTATGACATGCCCTACATTCTCTCTATTGAGATGTAATTCACACACCATACACCTCACACTTTTAAAGTGCACAATTCAGTGTCTTTGAGCATATTCACAGAGCTGTGCAACAATCACCACCATTTAGTTTCATGCCCACCAGCAGTCATCCTCGCCCTGCCCTGACAACCATTCATCTGCATTTTGTCCCTATGGATTTGTCCCTTCAAGACATTCCACAAAAATGGAATCAATACTACAAGTGCCTTTTGTGACTGGCTTATTGCTTATTCCTTCATATATATATATATATTTTTTTTTGGTGGTGCTGGGTATTCCTTCATTTTTTTGGTACTGCAGATTGAACCCAGAGGCACTTTATCACTGAGCCATATCCCCATCCCTTTTTATCTTTTTGAGACAAGGTCTGGCTAAGTTTCTTAGGGCAACTATGGACAGCTAAATTGCTGAGGCTGGTCTTGAACTTGCCATCCTCCCACCTCAGCCTCCAGAGTCGCTGGCATTACAGGTGTGTATTACCATGAACAGCTTATTCCTCCACTCTTGATCCCCTTTACTTTTTTAAATTTATATATATATTTATTGTTTGATGGACCTTTATTTTATTCATTTTTTATATGTGGTGTTGAGAATCGAACCCAGTGCCTCACACCTGCAACACAAGTGCACTACCACTGAGGCACAGCCCCAGCCCCCTGACCTCCTCTGTTTTTTTTCTCTGAGGCTTTTACATCCTCTACCGTATCATATAGTTCCTTTATGTTTATTGCTTATAGTCTGTTCCCTCCCACTAGAAGGCAAATTCCCAGGGGGCAAGCTGTGTATCTCTTCTCCACCTGGAAGGCTGCCTGGCGTGTGGCAGGTGCTCACAAGTATTTGTAGAATAGATGGAAGTCAGGCTGCCTACACTGGGCTCTGGCACTGCCCTTTCTTTCCTCAGGCTCTCAAAATCGCTTCTTCCCTCAGCACCTCTGCTGTCCTTCCTTTTGTTAGAGATGTTCTTGTAGCATTCTCTGTGGCAAGCTCCTTCAGGTGTCAGCTTAAATGGGAGTCAACTTCTCAGACCTCTCAATACCCTATTTGCCCCTGCATTCAAATCACTTCCTTTTTTTTTTTTTTTTTTTTGTGCTGGGGATTGAACCCAAGGCCTTGTGCATGTGAGGCAAGCACTCTACCAACTGAGCTGTATCCCCAGCCCCACTTCTTTTTTCATAGTTATCTTCTCCATGGCTCCTTTCACACTGCTCTTCTGCACAGTCTACTTCCCTTGTACAACAAAGCTATAGAAAGCTTAAGCTCATTGAAAGACGCCAACCCTGCTAGGCTCTCAGAGTACTGCTGGGCACCTGAGTGCTGAATGAATGAACTCCCAGCAGCTTTCAGCTAAAAGGCCATAAGGACAAAGTGAGCTGGGATGAGGGTGAGCACAGATTCAACCACTCTCACTCATATTCATGTCCTCTTTCCCTTTCCAGCTATCCCAGAGACAAGAATAGCACAAGAGGTGGTCAGCTTACAAAAATTTAATTGCTGAAAACATCCAAGCATGTGCAGGCTGGTCCTTGCAGGATTCACACTACCCTAATTGGGCCATCAATTTGGTGAGGCCCCCTTCTCCTTGTTGCAACCCTGGGAAGCAGGGCAACTGGTCCCAGGTCCTTCAGGCTGGAGCTGTTCCAAATGGCTTGGTGGGGGGCCAGCCCCCAACACCCTTAATAGGAACTAGGACAGCAGGCAAGATGGGTTGGCATGTAGTACCTGAAGGTGCTGGATTAAGACCAGCCTAGGCTGGGACCAGCCCAAGTCAGCAGAAAGAGCAGGGGAGACAGGGAGCCCAGGGCCTGCCCAGGGACATGGTACTGACCCCAACCCCATGTCCTTTGGTTCCACATGCTAGCAGGTGGTTGAGGACAAGCAGCTGGTCCCAAAGTAAGCTGAAGTACAGACAATCCCTGGGAGTTGCAGTAGGCCCAGCAACCATGGAAGTGCCCAAGGCCTGCAATAAACTAAGACTTCTGAGATGGGGCGTGCCAGGGCCAGAGAGGTATCTTCCAGGTTGAAGAGATGTGAGGTGTGCAAGGGCACCAGGTGGTTCTAGGAGGTGGCAGCAGCAGATGAGGCCAGAAGTGACTGGTAGGCAGGCTAGTCCTGGGGTGATAAACCAAGAAGTGGGAGAGAGTTAAGAGGGTCTGGGAAGGGAGGGTGTGTGTGCTGCTATGTGTCTGGGAGGGATGGTACTGCTGGTCAGGAAGGCTGGTCTCCCTTGCCACTCACTTACCCACTCATCCTCATCCACTCCTTCAAAAGAGTCCTGGGGCAGCGGGTCCTCCCGGTTCCCTAGCTTTGCCACCATGGCATTCAGCAGCTGCAAGAGTGGATCAGAGAAGCGTTGAAAGGAATAGGACTTCCAGACCTCAAGAGCATCAGATCCCATGGTTTTAACCCTGACAGTGTTGTGAAAAGAGCCATTTTAATTAGAGCTGTGGCAAAGTTCATGGGTTTTCACTGAAGAAGACACAAAGACAAGAGATGGGAATCAGAGACAGAGAGACTGTGGCTGTGGCACTTGATTCAGGTGCAGCTGTCTCTGTACATAGCCTAAAAAGCTCAAACATACACCAGGGCCCCAAATGGACTTGGCTCTCCAACCTCCAGTTTTAGTTGGATTAGGCCTGGTGGGCTTTGGAGGGGCTCTCCCTACCTTCCCTGGCTTCCTGTACCCTGGGGGCAGCAGGAGGTCAGCAGCAGGACTCTGAAAGGTCTCCCCACCAAGCTCGGACACAGAGATCAGTGTGATACAACTCCCATCTGATCAGGACTAGAGATATGAAGGACAACCACACACAGCTAGGACCCCGTCCACTCTGCAGAGCTAGCCCTCTCCCTTGCCTACCTCTTCCTTCTTCTGTTGATCTGACTTCTCTTCCAGGTACTGTGCTGAGGATGGGGCTCGCCGGGCAGGCGCTTCACGGGGGGCTTGGCTCACTGAGATGAGGCAAGGACAGGTATCAGAGAGTCCCCTGTGTGGGGGCTGCTTGATGCCAGCCCCTAGGGGATAGGTGGCATAAACAGCTAGTGAAGTTTCTGTTTAGGAGGACTGCCCTAGGCACCAGGGACCAGGGTATGTGTTGGGTAGGATGTGGGATGGAAACATAGGTACTACCCTCCAGGAGCTCAGAGATTGGGTCTCAAGACATGGTCACTCCATCCCTGAGAGAGCTGGAGGTCCTGTGTGCCCTCAATGATGAAGGATTGAACTTGGGCCTCTGCCCCCTCCTCTAGGCCCTGCCCAGACTCCCCTGCTTCCTCCCCCCAACCCTAGTTACTCCACCTGGGATCATGCCAGGGGGCTGCAGGCTGAGTAGTCGGGGCTGTCCATTGGTGCCTCCTAGCCAGGCCTCGGCACTGAGCACTGGCTCCCAGCTCACAGCAGTGTCTGGGAACACATCATCCTGGAAGAACTCTTTCTGCGGGGGAGGAAGGGACTGTCTTGAGACATTGACTAAGACCTAGAACACACCAATATCAAGCTCTGTGACCCTTACCCCCCATGCTGGGGCATCCATAACTTCTGAAATTGCAGCAAATAAGGGGCCAGTATCCCCAAAGAACAGAGAGCAGGAAGGTTTGGAAGCACAGCCAGATAGAACTAAAGTCCCTGGCCAGTGCTGGGAAGAGGGCATTGGGTGCTGGAATCCTTGGACCCAACCTCACCCTGACTCGGGGCAGCCGGAAAGCAACAGGCTCCAGGGAGGTTTGGCGCAGCCGCAGGCATCGGGCAAACTCCACTTCCCGCACATCACACTCGGTCTTGGGTAGGAGGATGAAACCCTGGGGGGAGAGGAGTAACAGCTAGAGCCAAAAGCTCTTCCTGGGCACTCAGTGTGGCAACATTCCTATGTAGGACCACAGCCTCCCCCTGGACAGTGGTGTGCTGGTAATGTGAATGGGTGGCCCTATGAAGGTTGGCCTGTTTCCAGAGTACAAACTCCCACCATGGCCCATCTCAAGCTGCTAACTTGACTCATTAAATACAGGGTTGAGAAGCGATGTATAGTGGCATGCCATCATGGCACATTTCAACTCTCCCAGATACAATCAATGGCACAAGTAATAGTAAAATCTAGTATGATAATTAGAAAGTGATCAGAATAGTTATTTCTTTATTTTTTCCTCCCTTAGTGGTACTAGGAATTCCACCCAAGGCCTCAAGCATGCTAGGCAAAAGTTCTACTATTAAACTACTACCCAGTTATTTGTTCATTTTGAGATAGGGTCTCACTAAGTTGCCCAGGTTGGCCCCAAACCTAGAATCCTCCTGACTCAGCCCCCTGAGTCACTGGGATTATAGGCATGTGCCAGGCACCGGGCTATCCTTTTGGTTTTTAATATATTTTTTGTAGGTTTATATTGCAGGTTCATATTATTTAACTTTAAAATAGTTTAACTTTTGATAATGGCTGAGTATAGCAGCAAGCTATCAAAATTCCTGGATATTTCATAACCAGCTCTGACCTCACAGGCTCCTTAACTTCCCCACATGGCCACCAGGGGGCGGAGAAGCCCCAAGATCCCATCGGG